TATTGTTGCTTATAATTTTTGTCTATAATTTGTACAATTAACCTCCTTGTGGTTCGACCCCGGTCTTGCCGGGTTATTTATTACTTCGACACTCCTGCACTTGGGAGAAGACATCAATCTTTTAGTCATGTCAACAGTATTTATAGTCAAAACTTCTATCAAGTTTTAATGGCTATATGTCCCACATATTTAGTATATCATGAATAGTTACAAATGAACCACTTTAAGAGCTCATAAATATGAATGTTACATCCTTAAAGTAAACCACTTCAAAAGCTCATAAATATAAATGTTACATTCTTAAAGTAAATCACTTTAAAAGCTCATAAATATGAAGATTACAACTTTTAGAGTGAACCATTTTAATAGTTCATAAGTGTGAATGAGAGTTAAAGAGTTGTTTATAAATACATGAATCATGGCGATAGGTCCTCTAATTGATGAGTATTATCTTCCATATATTACTATGTATTTATTACTAAAACATATTGTCAATGGGTTTAAGATGAAATATCAGATTACAAAAGTGGACCAAGTAGTAGAATGTTGACCGTTTCTTATAAAATCATTATAAACAACTCTTTAACTCTCCTTCACACTTATAAACTATTAAAGTGATCCATTCTATAGATTGTAACCTTCACATTTATAAGCTTTTAAAGTGGTTCACTTTAAGGATGTAATATTTATATTTATGTGCTCTTAAAATGGTTTATTTTAAGGATGTAACATTCACATTTATGAGCTTTTAAAGTGGTTCATTTGTAACTACCCATGATATACTAAATACGTGGGACATATAGCCATTAAAGCTTGATGGAAGCTTTAGTTATAAATATTGTTATTTGGTTCTCATACTTACTTATCATGGGTAGTTACAAGTAAATCACTTTAAGAGCTCATAAATGTAAATGTCATATCCTTAAAGTAAACCACTTTAAGAGCACATAAATGAAAATGTTATATCCTTAAAGTGCACCACTTTAAAAGCTCATAAATATAAAGATTACAACTTTTAGAGTGGACCACTTTGATAGTTCATAAGTGTGAAAGAGAGTTAGAGAGTTTTTATAATGACTCTATAAGAAACTGTCAACATTCTCCCACTTGGTCCATATTTATAATCTAATGTTTCATTTTAAACCCATTGACAATATGTTTTATCTCTGATCTTTTGACTAAGGGCATGCTACCGTTGAAATTCAAGGATTATGTAGTGGATATAGGACTTTGTTCCATTATGTAATTTTTCATTGTTTTAACAATGTTATTTTCCTAACTATTTTGATATTCTTCTCATATTAATGTGCACCTTAATTTGATTTTAAGAAAAATTCATTTGTGTTGGAACAGGAATAAACATAGGGTTTATTCATTAAGAACTTGTTGCCAAATAAGAAAATTGTCTCAGCTTTCCAAGAAAAAAGATGAGGTCATTTGGACTTCTAAAATTCCATAAATATAGACCAAACACTAAACAGTGTTAGGGCTATAAGACAGATTCAGACTTTCTCATTGTTACTACAATTTAGACTCGAAAATTATCTTTTTAAATCTTGGGCTCCATATAAAAGTTGTAGGTCTATGCCTTACCTTTCCATCCATATAAAGTGAATCTAAATCCGAGATTTACAGCTCTAGATATGACCCAATTACCGAATAGTATTCCAGTTTGGACTGCACCAGCATCTCTTTTCTAAGTTTGGTCATCTCTTTGTCCTTCAAATTCAATAATTAAAGTCATCAATCAATCATTTTATTTATATGATAAGCCTGCATTTAAGATGAATATTTACCACAAATTAAAGATACATTATATTATTAGATATGTTATTATAAAACATGCTTTAATTAAGGAGTTATTAATACTTAAAGTGCAAAATAATAATATAAAACCTTGATAAAAATGCACTTTTAAGTACTAATCAACTCTATAAGACACAATCAACATTCTCTCACTTGGTCCATATTTGTAATCTAATTTTCATCTTAAAACCATTGACAATAAGTTTTAGTAATAAATACATGAATCATGGTGATAGGTCCTCTAATTGATGAGTATTATCTTCCATTATGTAATTTTTCATTATTTTAACAATGTTATTTTCCTAACTATTTTCATATTCTTCTCATATTGATGTGCACCTTAATTTGATTTTGAGAAAAATTCATTTGTGTTGCACTAAGAATAAATATAGGGTTTATTCATTAAGAACTTGTTGCTACATAAATTATAATGTTTAAAGAAATAAATACATAGTAATATATGGAAAGATAATACTCATCAATTAGAGGACTTATCGTCATGATTCATGTATTTATTACTAAAACATATTGTCAATGGGTTTAAGATGAAAATTAGATTACAAATGTGGACCAAATGGAAGAATGTTAACCGTTTCTTATAGAGTCATTATAAATGACTTTCTAACTCTCCTTCATACTTATGAACTATTAAAGTGAACCACTTTAAAAACTTATAAATATGAGGGTTACAACCTTTAGAGTTGAACTACTTTAATAGATAGGAGAAGTATATGAGATGTTTTTTATTTATTCGTTTTCAAGATCGTTATTCGGACATTGACTCAAACTGAATCTATTACCCTTCATAATAGAAGCTATACTTGGAGGACAATCCTTTATCTGAAATATCTTTAAAACTTTATTAATATAGGTTTCTTGAGACAGACTCAAAATACCTTGAAATCTATCTCTATGGATTTTAATGCCAATAATATAAAATGTCTTACCCATATCCTTTATATCAAAAGCTTTAGAAAGGAATTGTTCACCTCGTGCAGCAAACCTTTATAATTGGTTGCTAGCAAAATGTCATCCACTTATAAAATAAGAAAACAAATTTTACCCCCACTGACCTTCGGTAAATACATTGATCCATAATGTTTTCTACGAAATCGAATAAAGAAATTACATTTTAGAATTTCAAATACTATTAGCGGGATGCTTGTTTTAAACTGTATATAGATTTCTTGAGCTTGCAAACCAATTGTTTACCATTAATAGAGGGGAATCCTTTAAGTTGCTTTATATAAACCTCCTCCTCTAGATCTCCATTGAGAAATGTTGATTTCACATCCATTTATTGTAACTTTACGTCAAAATAGACTACTAATGCCAAAATAATATGCAAGGAATCTTTCTTAGATACGGGAGAGAAAGTCTTCGTGTAACCAACTCTTTCTTTCTAAGTGAATCCTTTAGCAACGAGTCTTATCTTGTATCTCTCAATATCGCCTAATGAGTCTTTCTTTGTTTTAAAGACCCATTTACATCCAATGACTTTTACACCATTAGGTAACTCAAAAAGATCCCAGACTTGGTTACTCTTCATAGAATTCATCTCTTCCTTCATGACATTGTACTATAATTCTGTTTCTTTGCAACTCATAGTTTGTGGAAAGGATTCAAGATCATTTTCAACTCTAACATTATCGTTATATTCTTGTTAATACACAACATAATCATTATGAATTGTTGATCTCTTTGGTCTAATAAATCTTCTTGATGTTGTACCATTATATTTCTAAGAAGTATGTGGTTCAACTTATTGTTCAAAAGTTCTTGGCAACTCTT